TATGTACATACCTTCATTGTACCGACAACCAAGCATATATGAGTGACCGTTGAGGTGATACATAAGATCATATATAAAGTAATGCTGATTGTGAGCGCTGAAATGTAATAACAACATACATACATGCATGTATGTATGTATGTACATGTATGTATGTACATTGTTAATTAATTATTAATTATTATTGTTATCATATTAATATTTATACTTCCACGCTTACCCTCCTCAGAGTATTCAGCTCTAATATATTTACGATAATATTCACTGGTGATAATTTCATGTACTCTTCCCAGGCAGATGCCACAGAAGATGCATAAGAACACATAAGAAATGCCACCTAAGCAACCGAAAAACTTAGCAGCGCACTCCAAAGGACAGCAGAAAAAATGTTCCACCATTTCAGCCGTATTTAATTAAACTTTCGAGCACCGTCACCTTAATAATAATGCATTTTGCTGCAGTGCGCCTTATGATCTCATCCTCAAAAATTATACGCGATTGTAGTAAAACTAATAAATGCATAAGTAAATACGTATAKTACATAATGATACACAAGTGATAGGAAGCTTTCCCATGGAGACTCTTGCAACATGTTGCACAAAGTATAATAGTTCCATTCACCTAACGGCTTGTTTGTAACACTTAGAACTAATCGAGAAAGATATAGTTCTGTATTTATCGAATATACGATTTTCGCGTAACTTACCGTCCGTCTGTTTATGCGCGCAGCGTCGAGAGAAGCATATAAAACAAAAGGAACTCAAGTAAGAAGCTTCCGTGATACAAATACCATAAAGAAAATAATAAAATCTTGTCAAATACTTTTGTAGCTGACGTCATACTGCACTTRTTGACTAAGAGATCTTTGGTATTTTGGAAAGAAAGCTCTTTTAATTATATTTTCTAATAGCTTTCCTTCCCTTTTGCCCATATCGGTGTGTTTGTGCATTTTTGTAGTTTGTCACGYCAAGGCTCATCTTTTGGGAGCGATGTTAGTTTGCATTTGACTATTTGCCTATTTAAATAAAATCACTTTAGTCACCTAGGGCAACCGTTTCGTACGCTCGTGACCGCTAAGGCTAAGATTTGTAGCCATCAAAGTGCATATTCGCTGATTGCCACACTTTTGGTGACTCCGGCATCTAATGGTGAAATTATTATAACACATRTGCAGCTCAAGCATACATTCTCGTCTCCCAGTGGAACCGATAAACAAACATACAAACGCGCTCGTACAAGCCGCAGCCATCGCAAGCATCCTCAATAAACAATTAATTGTCGACAAGATTGCGCTTATAGTGTCAATTTTAAATATTATTTAATTTTGTAATTAAAAAGTATGCAACTTTCCGGAATATTGTTCAAAAGAACAATAGATTCCGAGCAATACTTCACTTCGATGGCATCAGTCGGTTTATACAATCTTAATTGCATGCGATAAAGCTCAAATACAATATTATTTGAATTCACATAATATACACAAACATACATACCAACATACATACATAGTGTATATGTATTTATATATTTGTTTATTTGCCCGTCAACCTTTGTATGTTCTCTGTGTGTTTTATGAAACATAATTCTGCTTGCATATAAATACAAATAGTTCGTTGTTTACATACTATTTACTTAAACAAACCAAAAACGAAAAAAACTAAAAGCAAAGAAAAACATTAACTTCGACTGCTGGGAAGCTATAATACCCTACACAGGTGCATTTCTTATGGCATAAAACGGCATGAAAATATCTTTATCTTGATTTGGATCGGTGAGGTTAGTTTGTATGACCGCTATATTATATAGTGTTCCGAACTGAACAATATGTTCGGAGATTATGGCATTACTTTGAACAATAATCCGTTATAAATTTCGTGACGATATATTGACAAATAAAAAAATTTCCATACAATGAATTTTTTTAAATCGGTCAGTTTGTAAGGCAAACATGGGCCTACTTCGGCGATTTCGATATACGATATATGTATTATATAGCTTGTCACGCTCATCATTTAGTGTGGGAAAGGTGAGATTTAAGCTTCATTTAACCAAAAAAGAAATTCGGGGAAGTTGAAAAAAAGTTACAGCTGTTCGAAAATTAGTGAAAATAGTGAAGAAATTCGCTATATTTTGAAAAAGAGAAGAATGTCACGCAAACTACCGATGAAATTTGTGCAGTATACGAAGACGATGCTCTATCAGTTCGTGTAGCACAGCAATGATTCGCTCGCTTTCGTTCTGGAAATTTCGAAATTTCGATTTACACTGACGTAATAATGTCTCTGGCGGAAAAATGGCAAAAAGTGGTCGACCAAAATGGTACAGATTTGTTGATTGATTTATTAGTATCCGTATAAATATAAGAAAAATTAAGTTAAAGTTTGATATACGGAAATACGAAAAGACTTTTTCGACTAGCCAATATATTCTGTTCAGGGTATAACAAAGAAAAAAAAAAAACGAAAATCAGATAAAAAGTCAACAACGCCTACTTTCTCACAAACGAGTATTTTTAAACCAAAGAACCAAATTCAATGTTATATAGTATGTATGTATAAATACAAATACATACATACATACATATGTACAATATGAATTCGTGCGCATCATTTTGACATAAATAAATAAAAACAGCAACATATAGATATTTTGTGACTAATATTTTTATTTTTTTTTTTAGTTTAGTAAAACATTACATACATATGTAATTAAGTACATATTTAAACAAACACGCGACGTTTAAATACTCGCTTGCGCTACAATCAACACTATTTGGCGCTTGAATTGATAATTATAAGCAATGCATAACATACTCTAATCATTAGAGAATTTATYAAGAAATTATAAATAACTTTCGAGCTAAATATACTAGGGTGGGTCAGAAAAAATTTATATCTTTTACGCTGGAACTCTGAAAAGCAGGTCCTTAGACACTTGAAAAGCAGCTTATACACTACTGAAAAGTCTCTCCAAGTATAAGCTCTTATTTGTAATGTGAAGSTTCTCCGCCTTACAGTTTTATATATTTTTCTTATTATTAGATGGAAAAATTCGTAASTCGCTTCATAGACTTGTAGGAAATTTAATGCTCTTTGAAAAAGATCTACGACAATTTTTTCGTAAACCTAACTGTTTAAAAGGTATTAAACTTTTAAAAATTGATTAATTTAAGGCAAATTTTGTTTCTTACGAATTTTATAGATCAATGAAAAAAAATCATTATAATTCTAAAAACTCATAGATTTGAAGAAAATTTACCGCTCTAGTTCTCTGTGGYAATATAAATCTAAGTAAAAGTAATATTTGATTTTTTTTTTTACCCACCCTAGTGTATAAAAAATTGGTAATTAATGGCAGAGAAGATTTGTATGAGGCAAAGTCATTTGTAAATGCAAATTATTACTGTTATTACATGTATAAAACTAAATATGCATATACATTTATACATATATAGTGTGTATTGTTTACGCAATTTGCCTAGCAATAGATCTAGTGCCGCGTTTAAAGGAACGTTGCTCATTTGCCGTCTTGATTTTGCTGTATAGTGAATACATGGCAATCCAGAGGTATGCAATAAACGCTGCAAATCGAGAAATATGTATGTATGCATATATGTAAAATTATGTTTAAATCATATGATCAAATTTGACCCGGACTAATCCGTTTAAACTGCGCGCATAAACCGAAAAGATAAATTTTTTGTTTAGAAACGATTATATTCGTGTGAAATTTGACAGCTGCTTGTTTACGACGCGTGGGCCAAAAAGTTGAACAATAAATTTGAGGTATTTGAATGACACAAAGCATTCAGTGAAGATTGTGATTTCACCGAAAACTTGACTTATGTGTGTCGGTCATCAACACCTGTCAATGACGATTACATCGAAAAAGTTAAAATATCGTGTTGGAAAATCGTCGAAAATCGAGTAATGGATCCACTCAACACATTTTGATTATCGTGTTAGGTATGAAGGGTGTCAAAAGGCCTCAATCGACGCCGAGTAGAAGTTGCAAAGAGAAGCTTGACAACGCAGTTCAGAAAGCTACATTCATCAAACGTATAATTACTGGTGACGAGAAGTGGGTTTATGGATATGACGTCGAAACTGTGCAACAATCCAGCAAATGGTGTGCCAAAACAGATCCCAAACCGAAACAATTAAAATTCGCTGATAGCATGAACGGTTACATCAACCGATGTTCATCACAAGTGTGTGGAAAATCGGATAAATCATTGGCTTGTGCGCGTATCAGCTTAGAAACCTTTTTGGAAGGCGACAATAAAAATTTGGTTTAAAATATGTGTTTTTTTTTTTTGTCAGTCCGGGTCAAAACTGGCAGCTATATATAATAGAGATATATCACTTACCAACTCCGAAAATGGCACTATAAAATCCATAAATAATTAGTGCTACTAAGCTTAGCACAGTTCCTATAGCGGTGATGATCAACCAGGGCAGGATCAACTTGTGATATTTCTACGAATAGAATAAATTAATAAAAACAAAAAATAACATAAAATAAACGAAAAAGAGTTGAGTTTGAACGGAACTGAACATCAAAAATGRGGCTGAACAAAATTTGACTCAAAAATGTCGAATCTTCTTGGAACTTTTCAAAAGCCCATAGAGCAAAGCGGCTTTAATTCTTACACAAGCTGTGTTTTCTACGCTTTCAATTTCAGATCCCTACGCAAAATGCGCCAAGTCGTTTCATACATCAGACCGTATTGCTGCGAACGGCGCCGAATCGACTCTCCGCAGACTCCGTGTAGACTCTCAGCTACGGCTGCTATATTTTCTTCACTACGCGTTGGACCTGGTCTATTGTGTCGAATATTATCCAATTATGAATGCTTTATCTCAAGATATATAGGTGTTGGTGTTGCGAATAGTACGCTGAATAGGCCGATTATSTTGATCAAAAGCTGATTGAAGCGCGTGAAACACATTCTTTACAGAACGTAGATTTTCGTAATAAATTTAAACGATTTGTAAACGGTGCTCGGACGTAAGTCTTACCACGATGAAATGCCAAACAATACTGAATAAAARTAACATGTCAGCTTGRCACRACTCACGYGCGATCTGTCAAAAAAAAAGCTATTGAAAATAGTACCTCTCTTTGGATCGTTCTTCCGAAAATGTACTATAAAACCAATCGTTCTCTCACCTACTGCTGTTTATTTACTTGCTGTCACATAGAGTACAAAACCATAACAAATATTTACTGCTTACTATACATACATACATATTATCTATCTTTTCTATTATGATCTCTAGCAATTATTCACTTTTTGCTACAATATCCACAACAAATGTAAATTTACATAGTACTGATACCAACCTTGACTGTGCCGTACACCAAACAACCATTTGCAAATGCATTGATGAAAAGAACAACAATACTGACAGCAAGTATAATGATCAGTACTACAAGAAAAATTAAATACAAAATTGTGTTTTTCATCATCCTATACATCACATTAATCTTTTTATATTCAATGTCAAAYACTCACCAGTTCCAGCGTCCTCTGGATCGTCAAAATGATAGCCTCTTCTCGTCAAAGTTCCAAGAAGGGCACGCGCATTTCTTAACAACTCTGCGCAAATGATAATTACAACAATAGTTACAAAACTTCCCAACCAACCGATAATTTTTGCAGTGGTTTCCAAACGCAAGCAACAGAATTGTGTCAACATTTTTACGGTTTTGAAAAATTTCGTATTTTTTTTAAMGAATTTTTACTATAAATTTGTCTAATATAATTAAATTTCACTAAACGTAGCAGTATTTGAAAGTAATATTCACAGTTTCCCCCAATTGTTGTGACTGTTGAGGAATGTGTCCGATATTCYACTACGAACTATTGTAAATATAGAAGAAATGGAAAAATTTATGCTGCATGTGCCCCTTTCGTACTATTTCTTCATCTCTCTCTATATACATACATACATATACATATCTATTTAGAAATTTGCGCCTCTTTCTCTATTCCAAAGGTAARCGTATCAAGTCATAGAGAGGCACAAGAAAGTTTTTACTTAACACTCAGGTTTGAGAAGCATCCGTAAAGTACATTAGATACCGATTTTTTGCGGAAAAGTAATTAAGCAGARTATGACGAGAGCATGATTGAAGGATCTGCCTTTCCTATTAGTAAAATAAAAATTAAGTATAAGTATGTACATATGTATGTATGTGGGTATCAGCGTGTCCATTTTCAGTCAGCATTGACCACCTGTATTCCACCAACAGATGTTCGGTGAGCGTTTGAGTGAAGAAGTGTTTTTATTTATATCTTTTTAGAATAGGCAGCAACAATGTTTATGCCAGAAGCGATTTTGCTTATAAATGGTAGCATGAAAGCAAAATGCGCTGTTTTTAAAAATACATGCTATATAATGAATTATTTATTAATGCAATTATTTTTTAATGAAACTATAATAACCTTCACAAATAAAAATAATTCCAAACAAAGACTAAAGTGGATTGGACAGTTTCTATAGTAGCTATGGACTAAAGTAGTCCGATATCGACGGTTCCATCGAATAAGCTGCTTCTTCGAGCGAAAACGATGTGTGTCTTGTTCCAGGTATATTTAAAAACATATTTACCATACACATAGAGGGCGCTACAAGAACTAAATTCATTCGATTTTTAATTAGTTGTAACCTTCAAAAGGCGCATGTATAAATTTGGCTGTCGGATCTTTAGTTTGTGAATTATAACATTTTGGGAGAAGCAACTTTTGTTATTGTGAAAAAAATCGATAAAGAGGAATTTCGCCTGTTAATAAAATATTGCTTTTTGAAAGGAAAAAATACAGTTGAAGCAAAGCTTGATGGCAAGATTTCAGAGGTTCCCCCAGGAAAACTAACCTTCAAGAATTGGTATGCTAAGTTTAGACGTGATGAAATGAGCACCGAAGACAGTGAACGCAATGGACGACCGAACGTGGTTGTTACCAATAAAAAAARATCAAAAAAGTCCAAAATATAATTTTGGTTGACCGGAAAATAGAGTAATTCGAGATAGCAGATATTCTAAAGATATCAACAAAACGTGTACATCACATTATTCACGAATATTAAGGTATGAGAAWACTCTGTGCAAAGTGGGTGCCGAGTGATTTCACTTTTGACCAAAAACTACAAGGRCYTGATGATTCGGAGTAAGGTTTAAAGATATTCAAGCGTAATGAAACCGAGTTTTTACATCGTTATGTGACAACGGATGAAACAKGGCTACACAATTTCACTCCGAAGTCCAATCAACAGTCAACCGAATGGACCGCACACGATGCACCCGCTACAAAGCGTGGAAAAGCGCAACAGTCGACTGGCAAGGTTTTGTCGTCTGTATTTTGGGATGCGTATGGAATAATTTTTATTGACTACATCAACAGCGAATATTATGAAGCCTTATTGAACCATTTAAAGAACGAAATCGCCGTAACACGGCCGTACTTGAAGAAAAAGAAAGTACTGTTTCACCAAGGCAATGCACCGTGCTACAAGTCAGTAGAAGCGATGACAAAAAACGTGAATTGGGCTTAGAATTGCTTCCACATCCACCGTATGCTCCAGATCTGGCTTCCTGTGACAATGTCCTGTCCTCAGGAACTCAGAAGAACGCTCGCTGGGAAGAAATTTTCGTTGAATGAAGAGGTGATTGCCAAAACTGCTGTCCATTTTAAAGCAAAAAAAGTTGGAGGGTCGCCAATAATATGTGTATATTATACTAGAGTCTCGATGTTTGGGCACCACATGAATTGTAATGGACCGAATTAACATCTGTGATTCTTTGTTGAAACGAAATGAAATCCAAACATTTCTGAAGCGAGTGGTAACAGGAGACGAAAAGTGGATCAAATACGGTAATAATATGCAAAAAAGATCATGTTTCAAGATCAACAARTGGCCGCAAAGCCAGGACTCGAAAGGTTATGCTGAGTGTTTGGTRGTATTGGAATGGAATTATCCACATTTTACTGTTGGTTTCGTCTTTCAATTGGACAAAGCTAGACCACACACATATTTGATGACTCGGCAAAAGCTTTTAGAGCTTGACTGGGAAGTTTTGATGCATCCACCATATAGACCTGACCTTGCACCTTAGGACTACCATTTGTTTCGGTCAATGCAGAACTCCCTTAGTGGAGTAAAGTTGGCTTCAAGAGAGCCAGTGGAAATTACTTGTCCCAGTTTTTCGCTGAGAAACTGGAAAAGTTTTACACTGATGGARTAATATCTCTAGCGGAAAAATGGCAAAAAGTGGTTGACCAAATGGTACATATTTGGTTCATTAAAGTTAATTATAAATATAAAAAACAAGTTGAAGTTTGGTTAGAATTGCGAAAAGACTTTTTCGACTACCTTATATTTCATTTTCTGTTTTAAACGTTCTAAGTGTATTCTGGWTTATGTAAAATATTTAAAATTATTAATAAAACATATTTTAAGGCGRGATGTTGTTATATAAGCTATACTCCTTACGCCAAGCGTTAGAAAGTGGCGAACCGAACAAACTGTAAACAGCTGGTTTATACAGTAGTTTGAGAGCACTTGCGCTATCATGWCCTCTGGCGCATGCGCAATTGTGCTGCGCTGCTCTTTTTGTTGAAGAAATGCTTTTTTCATATGTTTCAGTGTATGTATGTTATGTTATTGAAAAATTAAAATAGAGAAAATTATTATACTCTGTGCAACATGTTGCGAAAGTAAAAATATTGCACTCATCTAGACGCATTATTATTATCTGATTTCCCTGTTTTATTGTTAAACCGCATTTTAAGCTTCATTGTAATTTTTTTATGKAATCGACTTGATATTTTTATTGTATTAATAAAACAACAAAAGCAAAACTTGTTTGTTATATGAAACAAGTTGATTTTCAAAGTTAGAAGCCCAGAGCTCTTGCGCTCTATTAATGTAAATAAAAAAATCAAATTTACGTTTCGCTTTGCCGGCTTCAAAAGAAAGCATTTATTGATTATTTGCTGACGTTTTTGGTCATGCAAAAATATATGTACATATGTATGTACATACTATACGTGCAGTCAGCATCAAAAGATCAATGTACGTTCTCAGACAAATGTGTTATTTTTCAAAGAAATGGGCGTTGTCATTAAACATGCATAAGTATTTGTATTGTAATCTTCAAAAAAAAAACAACAAAACAAAATCAAAAATAAAAACGTTAACTTCGGTTGCGCCGAAGCTAAACACCCTACACAGATGCATTTCTGTTAGTAACTATGTATTCAGTTTGTATGGAAGCTATATGCTATAGTAATCCGTTCTGAACAATTTTTTTGGAGATTATGTTGTTACCTTAAGCGGTAATCCATGCCAAATTTCGTGACGATACGACGTTAAATGCGAAACTTTTCCATACAAGCCCTTGACTCCGATCGTTCGGCTTGTATGGCAGCTACATATATGCTATAGTTAACCGATCTGAACAATTTCTTCGGATATTACATTGTTGCCTTAGAAAATAATCTATACCAAATTTCGTGAATACATCTTTTCAAATGTAAAAGTTTTCCATACAAGAACTTGATTCCGATCGTTCAGTTTGTATGGCAGCTATATGATATAGTGATGCGACATCGGCAGTTCCGAAAAATGAGCAGCTTCTTGAAGAGAAAATGACGTTTGCAAAATTTCAAAACGATATCTTAAAACACTGAGGGACCAGTTCATATATATACAGATAGACAGACAGACAGACGGGCTTTATAGGGTCTCCGACCCTTTCTTCTGGGTATTACAAACTTCGTGACAAACTTAATATACCCTTRTTCAGGGTATAAAAATGAAAAGCAGAAAATACTTATGCGATTAATTATTATTTTTTTTTTAATTAGCAAGTAATTGTTTGCGCATGATATTCATGACCGGTTTACGAAATGATGAGCATCAATTGGCTTAATAATTCTAATGAATACTTAAGTAACTCGTCTGTACCTGTATAGATCTGCATGTGTATACACCAAATGATTAGGAATTGTATATAGAATTTCATTAACAACATAGTAATTGTACAACTGTCTACATAATTTCCGATATAATGACGGTATTATCTTTTGAGTAATGAAAAGCAAAAGTAGTAGAAAATAATTGATTTGTTTTTATTTTCATCGACTCGTAAAATATAAAATTTGTATACTCATTATAAAATATATGTATACATACATATGTATTAAGTATGTACATAAATTATATATAAACGTCAATATAAAATTTTAATGTTATAAAAAAACAGCATTTCCTTTTAAGTTAAGCCATTTGTTTGGGCATAAATTCAGCTGGACKTGAAAAGCCCGTTTGTCTTTCCGATTTGATTCTCTTATAAAGCGAGAACATCGCAATCCAGAGATAAATATTCAAKGCTGAAATGAAAAAAGTTAATAAAAAAATACACGGAATTCAAATTATGGATATGGGCGCTATATGTGTCAACTCACCGAGGCCTATAAGACTGCTATAAGAACTAGCGACGAACATGAAAATAATCGAAAACACTATTCCCAAGGCATTAGCGATCAACCAAACCAAAACCAAATTGTGACGTTTCTGTAAAGTTTCAAAAGAAATTTTAGGATTGAAATACAATAAAATAAATAAGGTTTACCAAAAATATAACTAAATTATTTAATAAAGTGATGGAATAAATATGCCATTACATCAACAATAAAAAAAAATTAATAAAATAATAAATTATAGAAATAAAATATAATAAAACATGGATCACAACAGAACTTTAGAAGTCGGACTAAACAATAAAGGCCGYTCCTTTAGTTCAAATTTGACTCGGACTTATTTAGACGCTGGAGGC